TATAGTATTATACATAAAATCAAAGGAGGCAGACTATTTATTGTAGGCTTGCTGTGTACTTGCACTACAACAGTTTCGTTCAGTTTTGAAAGATAAACACAATCCATGCCGGTACAATTTTTGAAACAGATTAGGGACTTGAGCAGCGTATCTCAAGTTCCTGTCAATGAGGTCATACAGAGGTCTGTTTCGAGCCTCACATTCTCAGATAGGATGTTGACGAGCTGTTAAAATGCCCTAGGCCCAGATAGCCAGTTTTGCAGAGGAGTGAGGCGGGAAAAACTGCTTTATTCTTTATAACATTGCGCCTACTTTATGTATCTTTCCATACCTTTTTTTTTTTTTGCAACAAAAATTTAAATTTTGACAAATTATTTCTCAAGTTCATGAAACCAATACCACATGTGGTCGCTTTTAAGGTCAAGCGGGCTAACCCAAATTTCAGGGGTTTCTAGAAATCTTGACCTACACCAAAAGTGGGCATTGCCCTACCTATAGGAGAAGTTTGTTTTGTTTGGTGTGTTTACTTGTTTGGTTATAGAGAAAACTCTCCTTGTCTTTCAAAGAAACTGAGGAAGGGTCCAGCAACTTTACGTTCGATTTTCTCAAAACAGAACTTTGCCGGATAGCCACCTTGTGCTTAAAACCGATCATATTGATAAAGATACCTACAGATTTACTCTTACCCTATACGGTTAGGTACATCAGGCGGAGAGCTGTCGACGCCACACTTGCCTGTCTCTGGACACCTTTTTCAATCTCGGCACATCCACGCCCTGGGTGGTTACCTCATCCCTAAATGTTCCCCAACCGAGTCCAGTTGGTCTACCTCTTTTTCTTTCTCTTTGTCTTTTTCCAGTTGGTCTACCTCTTTTTCTTTTTCTTTGTCTTTTTCCAGTTTGTCTCCAATTAATTAGGCCTTGACCTTGACCATCAATGATTGATTTATAGAGGCATCAGCCATCCATGTCCAGGTGCTGTGTTAACCTCTTTTTCCTGTCAGCGGATTAATAATTTTTTTTTGGCCAATTTATTGGTTCCGCTATCTATGGTTCTCAACCTGGAAACGCCTATAGTTCGCTGTAATTGCCATCTCTCATCACCCCCCCCCCCCTTATAGTGTCATCATTTATGTTACCGTCTATTTTTATCGATAATTAATTAGGATTCAGCTATTAAAAACAAACACGGCCTTGTTTTGTCTTCCACAGACTGGGTGCGTGCGGCACGGGCAATGACGGGTATCTCCCTAGGTTTTAACCTGACGACCATCGGCCTGTCTCTGGTCGGAGCTTTCTACCCCACCAAGATGGCTAGCCTAGCAGCCGCGGCCACAGCGGCTGTGTCTGGTAATGTATACCAGTGGAAGGCCGTGTGCCACCAAAGCAGAAATGACGCGATTTTTAAACAATATGTTTTGTTTGTTTGTTTTTGTGTTGTGGGGCGGGTTTTTTGTTTGTTTGGTTGTTTGTTTGTTTGTTTTTTGTTTTTTGTTTTGGTTTTATTTTTTTTATTGTAGTTGTTGTTGTTATTGTGGGGGGGGATTGGGGGGGGGTTGTTTTGTTTGTTTTTTGTGGGGGGGGTTTTGTTTGTTTGTTTTTGTGTTGTTGTTGTTGTTGTTGTGTGTGTGTGTGTGGTAGCCTATCCGTTCGAAATGTTCGGAGCCCCGAAGAGTGTGCTCTTCGCCAGGGCCACCGCCTCCCTTGGGTAGCGGGTGAGGCAGTCCAACCTCCCTGAATCCTCCCCGAAGAGATGCCACCGCCGGGCCTCCGTGGCGGGGCATCTCTGCAGCCAGTGCTCCAAATCTTGGGGCTCCTCGCTGCACAATGGACATATTGGGTCCGATGTTTTGTCTATTCTATTTTTGTAGGCCCGAAGCCCAGAGAAATGACCGGTCCTGATTTTTGCCAGTAATGACTGGTCACTGCGGGACATAATAAGAGCCTCTCGTTTTAAAGAAAATGCCCTGTATACTTCCTTCGTCCGCGTGTGGCATATAGGGGGGTTGTTGTTGTTGTTGTTGTTGTTGTTGTTGTTGCTGTTTTTGCTTGCGGGGGTGGGGATGTCTGGAGGAGACAATTCGGGTTGTTCGTTCCTGGCGTACATAAACAGCTCAAAGGTTAATTAAGGAGCACAAAGATGGACAAACAGAACATGGGCAATTTCGAGTCGCTAATTACGAACATGACATGACATTAACCTTTTTCATCGGAACAGAATATCATTATTATTTTTTTTAGTTCTGATTTTTATTTCCGAGGAGTCATAACGCGACCCGACAAAAATCCCCCCCCCCCTCCCCCAATGCAGCATTCCAACCGACCCGTCTTTTGTCGGAGGGAATCGTGTTGTTTTGGTGGACACAACCAGTAAAAATGAATTCTCAGTGACAGCTATAGTAAAAACAGGTGCTCTATTTCAGCAACCGACTTTCCTTGGGGGCGATCGATTTTTTGTTCAACCGGTTTCTTTCTGGTTTGGTGGACACGCAGGGTTAAACCCAGTATACTTTGTGTTCTTTCAATCCCTGCTTCCGTTCACGTACAACGTTCATCAGAAATGTTATTCGTTGCTTTGGTTTATTCTTCTTTTAAACGTTTACCCTCACAATTCTCTTTTCATTGCAAATACTGTCATTGCTATCATCATCATCATCATCATCATCATCACCGTCATCATTAGTTTTGCGTGTGTGATCGTTAGTACTGTGATTGTAAATATATTGATGATGATGATGATGATGATGATGATGATGATGATGATGATGATGATGATGATGATGATGATGATGATGATGATGATGATGATGATGATGATGA